AGGTTTATACAGTGAGAAGAAATATAACAGCTAACTAGTCTACAGAGCAGTACAGAGGGCTCAGTTGAACTCACTTCTGTGGAACAGTTCATCTACTGGAAGTCCTTCAACTCACATGGGCTGCCAGGTTAAAGGTCAAGGAAGCAGACAGAAGAGGCCTCCCTGGAGCAAGGCAAGCAGAGTCTGCACACAGGCAGCAGGCAGCAGGGTGGGTGACCAACAGTCAGTAGCTCAGGAGCTTAGTGAAACAAGCTTGGGTGGGATCTCCACTTCAAGAGCTGCACAGCGACAGAATCCACCAGCCTCAAGCTCAAGTGATGTACGCACCACCAGTGTGGCAAAGCAGGTCTCCAAGGAGCCTCAATTTCTAGCAACACAATCCAAGGATTGGCCTGGCCTACAGGTAGTGTAGCTCACAGGTTGAGGCAGAGAAGTAGCTACAGCAGCAGCACAGACGCTCCATCCAGCACACTCTGATCACCAAAGAGCAAGAGAGAGGGGGGCGGGCCTTGTAGAGCCATTTGTCTCTTTGCCCTCCACTCAAACTGCTGATTAATCCTGATTAGTCCCACATGTTCCTATTGGCCAGCTTGGCACAATAAACCTACCTATCACAAAACCCAAACTATCTCAGACAGCATTTAATTATGGACACTATCAATAGAACCCCAAGCTGCAGTATTAATCTCAACCATGCTCAAGGTCCTGGCTCCAACCAGCTCACAAAATAAAAACATAAATCATCGTCTAGCTTTGAAAGGCAGGTGGTATTTTTCTGTATTGTTTCTGTACTCCTTAGCTGGGGACATTAATCTGGGCATAACAAGACTTATTCTAGGTTGCACAGAGGAAGCACAGGGTAATTTTATCATCCGCAGCGCTCACCAGAGTAGTGAGGTGGACCCACTGAAGCAGCGAGGGAGTACTGTCTCTCAGTACTGAGGCGGTGGTACTGATGGCTTCAGCTAACGTCGGGAGCAAATTCCATGCCAGCGCCTTGACTAGCATCACTCTGAAGATAGGAACACCCACCGAAGGTGTCCAGGAAGCTCCTCCTTGTAACCATGAATCTCTGCAGTTATCTGAGGGTTACATGATCTATGGTCATGTTTTTCATTAAACCCTGGAAGGTTACTTATGAGCATCCCTATGGTACAGATCATCAGAGAAAAGCAAATTAAGGCTTGCTTTTCATACAAGTACAGGTCTGGGCATCTATGCTGCTGCCCCTGGAAAGAATTGTTCACTGTGTAGTGTCCCTAATGTGGCTTCCCAGTCATCTGCTAGGCCTGAGCGTTCTCGGTTCAATAACTGACTCATCCATGCTTTGGGGGAAACACCGCCTGACACAGTCCCATGTATCCACATCACCAACAAATGACTCGGCAACACGTGGGGGTGGGCATGGGTGCAAAAACTGACTGGAAATATCAATGAGTTTTCTGTGAAAGTGCAGGTGGTGGAGAGACATTTGATGTTTCCGATAAAGGTAAACTGCTATCAAATTGTGGTCAGAGCCCTCCTATAGAATGACAGAACCAGCAATGGTTTACATTAAAGGTACTTAAAATAGGACAGGAGAGGCAGACATTTTTCTTGGAGAAGGTTCCAAGAAGTGACTATTTTCCCAGTCTTGATCTTCACTGCCATCGAGTTGAGGCTGACTCCTAGTGGCCCGCTAGGACAGGGTAGAACTGCTCCTGTGGGTTTCTGAGACTGGAACTCTTTACAGGAGTAGAAAGCCTCGTCTTTCTCCTGAAATCATGACCGAGGACTATGGAAATCCCACAAGAGAATCCAGGTGGCCAAACCAGAATAAAATGTATGAGTAGGGCTACTAACTGCAAGGTCGACAGTTTGAAACCACCTGCTGCTCTGCAGGAGAAAGATGACCTTCCATTCCCACAAACAGCAGCAGTCTTGCAAACCTGAGGCAGTTCTACACTGTTCTACAGGGTCGCTGAGTCGGAATCGATTTGATGCCAAAGTTAGTTCTAGCCATGTTTACCAAAGTGGGCAGCACTGCTCTCTGGGAGGACCCTGGAATGATTCCAGGGGGTCTGCAAAATCAGATCCCTATCCTTTATCTTGGATTATGGGCAACAGGATACATTTTTAATGGCCAGGGAGGGTCTGAAAAATAAACCCCCCCTTTCTTTCCCCAGCGCCCCCAAGAAAAGAGGGCAGCAAACCAGTACATTTGAGGGTCTATTCTCTTGGCTGTGCAGCAACTATGATGTGAGGAGAGAGTGAAAAAAAAAATTCCCAACAATGGTCAGAGAATACGGAATTTTCAAATATAAATCCACCCACACCTCTCCTTCTGATCATTACTTAGCCACCACCAAGACATGATCAAACCTTCCTGGAGACAGGTACATTCAGTGGCCAAACTGGCCCACTAAGCTGTATAAATCAGGCGAAGATGAGTCAGAAGTCTGTCAAGGTTATTTTCAAGATGTTTGTCTCAACACTCAGTACCAAGTGATGTGGTTGGCAGGCAGATGATGGCCATCAAGTACTGGGATTATCAGGCCATTATCGGGCAAGTTGTGCAGTAAAAGGCACACCACTGAGACTAACACGGTCAAGAAAAACAAACTGCATGACCAGTTGATGGTTGACTGATCAAACCAGAGCAAGACAGAAGCTGAAAATTCAAGTTGTGATGCATTAGGGACAGCCAGAGGGAGCTTGCTGACATGGCCATGCCTCTTGCTATGTGACCTTCCTAGTAGACATATGGCTCAACTTTGGGCAAAAGTCACAAGTCAGCCACATGTAACAGCAGCCTCGACACCAAACAGGGTCCTTTCCTTTATGTCCCATATTGTCTTTGTGTGGCATATTGCTATGTCTGGTACAATGATGTATCCAGCATCAGTGGTGTTAATCCAAGGGATGCAGACTCCCAGTAGTGTCATCAGAGAACAGGCCCTTACTGTATCTATGTAATAGGTGATTCCATTGACAGTGTGCATCATGCCCAGTAGTGTATCTTTTATCTAAGAGGCTGCAGTATTCCAAATGGCAGATCACCAGACTAGGCCATTGACAATAGCCCAATAGTTCATGAAAATATAACATGCCTGGTTCTTAAGAGTATTGCCTAAGAGTGAGACCTTTTAATTAAGCCCATTGTGCTGAGTGGCTCTTGTTGCAGTCTTCAAGAATGGTCCTGAACATCAACTTTGAGCTGAACTAACTTCATTCACACTAACTTCACTGAACCGCCCATGATCCAGGTCCCAGTATTTGGTGACGCCTCTGTGATTCAAGGGTCCCATGAATACCCAGCTTTGTTCCAGATGGCACATTAGTGATGAGCTTCCCTCAAAGAGGAAGCTGTCATTTTCATATACAACCAAGATGGCCAGGCCAGCTGCACCCCCCAACACATCCTTTCTACGTGGCTAAAAACAGCTGCTAGGCTATTTCTCACTTGTCATCTAGTCTGAGCTAACCTGGACCAAAATGGGAATGTTAGCTGTGCCAGTTACATCTTCTCAACTTGAGTGAAGGGGTAGAGTCTAGTCTGCAATCATGCCTATGTGTGGGCATGGCCTTCTCCTGAGGATTCTGGGAACCTTCTTCCTACCTGGAGGTGGAACACACTTTTTCTGCCTTCCCTTTCCTGCTGTTGAGATACTCAAGAGCTGGTGGAGACCCACGCCAGCATTGAGATACTTCCACTGACACTGGCAATACCTTCTACTCACTGGCCTGTGATCTTCCTGCTTTTGGCATCATTGCATGGGCAGTGTGAGTTGAAAGAGGAACTAATGGACTAGTATCAGACATATGGGCTACTATTGGACTTATGGACTTGGTCTGAACTCGGCGGTTTTCTCAATATACAATTGCTGTTTTATATAAAGTTCTGTCTTATAAACCTATGAGTGAGATGAGTCAGTTAGGGTGCAGGGTAGCAACAATGAGACATAAAACTTTCCTCTAGTTCTTAAATGCTTCCTCCCCCCACCGCCCACGATCCCGATCCCAATTCTACCTTACAAATCTGGCTAGACCAGAGGATGTACATTGGTACAGATAGCAACTGGAAACAGAGAACCCAGGACAGATGACTCCTTTAGGACCAGTGGTGAGAGTGGCGATGCCTGGAGGGTGGAGGAAATGTAGGGTAGAAAGGGGGAACTAATTACAAGAATCTACGTATAGCCTCCTCCCTGGGGGATGGACAGCAGAGAAGAGGGCGGGGGGAGACATCGAACAGTGTAACATATGACAAAACAATAATTAATCAATTATGAAGGGCTCATGAGGAAGGGGGTGGGAGGGAGGGGGAAAGCGAGGAGCCGATATTAAGGGCTCAAGCAGAAGGCAAATGTTTTGAGGATGATGGCAACAAATGTACATATGTGCTTGACACATGGATGGATGGATGGTGATAAGAACTGTACGAGCCCCCAGTAAAATGATTACAAAACAAAAACCTATGAGTCTCTATGAGTTTGTTTCTCTAGTCAACCTAGTCTAACACATTAGGCCAGAGCTCCAAGATTTACAGGAGTCAGACTTCAACAACTTGGAAACGGTTTTATTTTGTCTCTGCAGGAACACACACCTGGAGTCAAGAGTATCCGGGTTTAAATTCCACTTCCCTCACTGGCTGTGAGATGAATTACTCAACTTTTGTGGCTCAGTTTTCTCATTAGGAACAGCAGTTATCTATTTGTGAGGACTGAGTGCCTGGTTGTTAAGCAATGCCATCTGGCCCAAGGTTTGGAATGCTGTTAGACTTGTTATCCCTGAAAGGCTGGGCTTCTGGGCTAGAGGTTCTAGCAGGCCTCTGACTAGGAAGACAGCCTAGAAACAAAGCAAGACGGTTAACACTTGCTTCTGCTCGGCATCTTCCATCAACACTACTATGACTCCAAGTTTTCACATCTTCTTTCCTTTTATTGAAAAAAAGTTGTAGAAAATGGCAGTTAATAAAGGGCACAAAGGGGAATGTACTAGTTAGTGGTAGACATACAGTATAAAACAGAAAATGCCATTGGCTTATTTAATTGGTTGAGAATACATAATGTAACAGGCATAAGGTTTGCTTTAAACAAATTCAAAAGCTGAGTTTTGTCTTTTTCTTTTTAAAGTTTCCCCAAGTCAAATATATACACACCCAGAAAAAAAATGGTGTTTGAAGGAAAGCTGTCATACATAAGAAGTTGTATCCTGAATTCATAAACGAAACAGCTGTAATAGGAATTAACACAGTGAAGTCAACGGGTTAACAATTTAAAAAAGAGATTCTTACTTATCATTTGACATACTACATATACTTATTGTGTATTGTTTGTATCCCTTTATTAAGATGTAAACTCCACGAAGGCTAAAACTTGTGTGTATCCCATGAATCTAAGTTGCCACACGGTACATGCTCAATAAATATTTGTCAAATAAATGGATGGCTGTTTAGAAAGCAATAAGCGATATAATACAGGCTGGTAAAAACACGCATGGAAACAACAGTGGCCATCTCTTGTCTATGGGACAAAGATTTTTGAGATTAAAGGAAAGAGGATTTGCCAGGCAGCCAAGTCGTCAGTCCTAAGGGGAAGGCAAAAGGCAATCAAAAGCAAGATGATGTGAATCAGGATCTGATATAATACCATGACAATGGGTCAGACAGGAACTGAGTAGGCTAATACTTTGATTGACGCAGGTTTCCTAAGCAAGTGCATTCAGCTTGAGTTACGTATTGGGCAATGTACCAGATCAGGATGCCTAGCATACAGCTAGAAGAGGAGCTGAAGGTCAGCAGAGGGCATAAAGCCACTGAAGGAAAACGCAGCAAGTGAGAGAAGCACTAATGGGATTGCAAACCCACATGCCGTTGTCCTCATCTAGCTGTAAACCAAGCCTTATCTGTTGCCTTCGACTTGATTCCAACTCATAGTGGCCCTGTGCAAGAGAAGTGATTCCCAGGGCTTCCTTGGTTAAGAGCTTCATGGAGAGGGGCCCTGGTGGCGCAGAGTAAAATGCTAGGCTGCTAACCCAAAAGGTCATCCACTCCCGCCGACCACTCACCCTGCAGGACAAAGATGAGGCAGTCCGCTTCTGGACAGATGAGAGCCTTGAGCAGCCCAGGGGGCAGTCCTACTCTATCCTTTAGGTTGGCTTTGAGTTGGAATGAACTTGACAGCATACAGCAATCTTTATGGGGGAAGACCACTAGGCCTGTCTTCCATGGCGTCACTCAGAAAGTTTGAACTGGCAACTTTTATGTTTTATTAGACAAGTGCCCTCTGGAACATGAACACGTGTAGGTCCACACAATAAAAGCTGGTCCTTGCGTAGAGTTTGAGAAACAAGCCTCCTCAAATCCCCGATGACTCTTCGTAACTGAGACCTCAAATGTGTGTGTTATTTGCTGGGATCATTTGGGTCTTTGTGTAGGAAATCAGGAGGGACGTCAGGAAAAGACAAGGGGAGTTGACACTGTCAACAGATCTACAGTTGTCACCGCTGCTATTCATTTCATTTCCAAATGATCACCCTTAAGACGGAGTTAATGGACTGTGTGTACACAGGCATGCATGTGCATGCACGCACACAGACATACAAAGTCAGAGTCAAAGTCTAGCGATAAATGGTATGTCAGATAGGTGGCGGCAGAGCCAGGACTCGCAGTCGTATCTGTCACAGCTCCAGAGCGTCAACTCCTAGAACTATCCCTGGCTCTCTGCAGGGGAGGGCAGTGCACATGGCCTCATGCACAAGTGCTCGCTTCCAACCATCGGTACCAGACAAACCCATTCTTCATGAGCTGTAGGCACCTCTTCGGTAAAACAAGTTTAATCTGTATTATTTGTTTATAAATGGGTCCGAAAGAGGCTCTCTAAAATTAAGAGATGGCTCACAACATGTGTAAGTTTGTTAAGATTTTCTACACACAATCTTGCAGTTGTTAATAAGGTTCATTTTAATGCAAAACCAAAAGCAATTCTTCAAATGTTGCATGGCACAAAGCTCCTTGATACGAAGTACTGCCAGGTAGGAAGGAGGAAGGCTGCGGCTTTTGGCCGAAAAGTTTTTCCAGAAGAGCAGATTGAAGAGGCTATAGCTAGACATCAGGCCTACAACTTCCCATATCTGTGCTAGAAAATTCTATTTATCCAGTTTGGCCTAAACTTCCAAGAAACACAGGGGATTTAAAAACAATTCTTATTTGACTTTACCCATTTTGAGTTCACTGTTTCTTCCCCCTGCCACTCCTAAATTAGCATGACCCAGTAGAAAGCCGGCTGCTTTTAGAACTTAGCTATTTTATTTTCCTTTCTGTGGCGAGACTGTCATGGAGCCTGGATATTTCTGGCTCATAAGCATCCATGACCAGTGTCCCACTGTGGTCAAAGAACTTAGCAATGGACTTGGTGAACTCAGCTTCCCGCTGCTGCTTGGTTCTCCCACTGATGAAGGTCAGCTTCAAGGTGTACTTGTCATCAAACCTAAGCATCAGGGCAAAGACAACCAGTTAAAACCTGTATTAATTCAACCAGTAACGATACAGCAAGCAAAGGGCTGCCCTAGGAGCTGCTGATGGTGAGTATCTACAGATCCATGCTTCAAAACTCTGAGGACATCTCACTGCTTCCAAGACACTGGTCCAGACCAAGTGCTGCATGTCTTCCCTAATTACATTACTGTGTACCTCTCCTTTATTTGGCCATACATCATTATGTCACATGAACCAACTTCTCTCACCTCTGGACTTTGATGGGCTATGCTCAAAGTGCCTTGTTAATACACTTTTCTCTATCTCACCTGACTTGTTCTCATTTGATAACATTATAAGTAGGCTTAATTTTTTCTGGGAGTCTCCCTAAACCCTCACAGTCTGAGTCAGACACCCCACCTTTGTCCTCCACAACACCATCAGTCACTATGCAACTCGGACACAGAGTGCCAATCTATGCCAGCCTAATGATATGTCCTCATGCTTTCAAAACCCCTCATCTTTTACCAATGTTAGCATCTAGGAAAATGATGTCTGGGCATTCGTGTTCTTTATCAGACTGGGAGATTTTTGTGGGCAATGGCTTTTCTCACTTCTGTTCTATTCCTAGCTTGGCACACAGTGGGCACCCAAATCTTTATGAAGAGAGGACCCTTGCCTTCAAGGCTGGCCCTCCATGCAGGTGCTTAGTCGGTGCATGCTGCACACCTTACTTTACTAGAGGCGCACAGGAGGGCATTAGCTGCACAGGGAAGTACCTCAGAAGTCTTTATCTCCACCCACACCTGAGGGTTTAATGACACCAACTTCTAGTGAGCTGATGTTCCTCCTCTTAATTGTTAAACTGGTTGCTAGCTTTAGATGAAGCAAAATTTTTCTTATATCTTTGTCTAAATGTGCAAAATAAGAAAACTACCACTTCGTTCAGGATTACTATCATGATTAGAGTAGGTGCCCTAATATCTGGTGCTCAGTAATCATAGCTCTTCCATCAGTTAATGGTCTAAGCCATTAACTCCAACCTAGGTACCAGGACCTAAGGGTCAGAAGGAGGGATGGTTTTAGATTTCTGGGTCCAGTTTTATCAGCAGTTGCATGGTTTTGATGACAGGACATAAACTGAAGCGATGATACAGTTTAAGAACAGTCTGGGGTTTTGGGGAGAAGACGAGCCAGTCAGGGTGAGATGTAGCAACAATGAAAAATACAACTTTCCTCTAGTTCCTAAATGCTTCCCCACCCCATCCCCCACCCTCACTATCATGATCCAAATTCTACCTTGCAAGTCTGGCTAGACCAGAGGATGTACACTGGTACAGATAGGAACTAGAAACACAGGGAATCCAGGGCGGATGATCCCTTCAGGATCAGTGGTGTGTGGTGATACTGAGAGTGTAGAGGGAGAGTGGGTTGGAAAGGGGGAACCGATTACAAGGATCTACATGTGACCTCCTCCTTGGGGGATGGACAACAGAAAAGTGGGTGAAGGGAGATGTCAGACAGGGCAAGATATGACAACAAAATAATAATTTATAAATTATCAAGGGCTCATGAGGGAGGGGGTAGTGGGGACGGAGGGGAAAAAAGAGGACCTGATGCCAGGGGCTTAAGTGGAGAGCAAATATTTTGAGAATGACGAGGGCAATGAATGTACAAATGTGCTCTACACAATTGATGTGTGTATGGATTGTGATAAAGAGCTGTATGAGCCCCTAATAAAATGATTTTTAAAAATTTAAATTTAAAATACGCCCCCCCCCCCAAAGAAGTCTTTCACTAATTCAAAAAAAAGTATTGAGTGCTACCTATATATATGAGGTAGTTTTAGATGCTAAGGATATATACCAGTGAACATAGTACATTGATTTCTGCCTTTTGAAACTTTCATCTTAGTGTGCAAAGGGCAGACAATTAAAAAACTATTTTAAGTATGAAGGGGCTTCAAAAGCTCAGGGGAATTTTCCACTGTTTATTTTATTCGTCCTTGAACCTCTGAAAGTGCAGCAAAGTCTTCGCAAAGAAAGAGATGAGGCAAGAACATTCCAGGCGTGTCTGAAGAACAGGAAGGAGCCACTGGAGGTAGGGTTGTGTGGGGTGAGGGTGGCAGTGGCTCAGCACTGGGTGAGATAAGAGATATGTCTGCTGGGTGTTGGGTGCAGAGAACAGACATGGACTTCTAAGTTATCCTCAGGCTTGGGCTTTTTCTGAGTGAAAGGAGCTGAGCAGAAACCCAAGATGGTCTGATTGACATTTTAAAAGGCTCATTCTGCCTGCAGTGCTAGGAACTGATTGTGGGTAGATGGAACAGCCCAAGCGGTCCATTAGTGAGCATGAAGTAGGCATTATGAAGGCGTTTCAATAAGAGACCATGGCAGCACTGACGAGTCTCAGTGGCTGGAATGGATATATTTAGACAGTAGAGCTGACAGGCTGTATATGAGCCCCTGTGCTCAGGATGGTGACTAAAATCATGCATTCTAGGCTCAGGCTTAGTTAGAATTCCTGCTCTACCACTTTTGACTGTATAACATTAGGGTTAATTCAACTCTTTGGCCATGTGTTTTTATCTAGGTAATGGTGGTTCTAAAGCTTAAATGAGGTAATACACTTGGCCTAACAGCAGCTATATGGCAATCAGTGTACATGTCAGCTATTAGAAGTGGTATCCCAAATTCCTAACAACTCTAAGAGTCATTTTTCATCTTGTTAGGTTCCGGTAAGTTGCACGATTTACTAAAGGTCACACAGCTAGAAAGAGACTGAGCTGGAATGTGAAGTCAGTTCTGAGTGCCTAAAAAGACCTTATGTGTGGGTTGCATTAGGCATAATGGTCAGAAAGAGAGCCTGAATTGTGTTTCTACGAGATGCCCAGCCCAATGCTCCAGAGATTCTTGATCGGATCCACAGAGTTAGGTAAGGATCATAAAGATAGAAGCTAATGGGCTTTTACAAAGATAAATGACCTCACACCTTTGGCCTTACAGTACTGTACTCTAAATGGCTGCATTAATTAGCCAGATTAAAAAGAGAGAGAGACTCATTCTGCAGTATTTCCGCAAAGTGCTTTCACCTACAGTTCATCCTCAGAGACTATCTGTGGTAATGCAACCCCTTGAAATGCAGCGCTAGAAAAAGCATCCTAGAGCATCAAATTCCCTCTTTATTGTATATGACCTGCCGAGTAGAGGGCACTAGTCTGTTGTTGACAATGACTCACTCAGTACTCCAGGGCAGGTACACCACAAAACTTAGAACCTGAGAACAGTCATACCTTTTGAGGCTGGAGGACAGTTGCCAAATATCATCAGGATCCATCCCTGTAGGGTCTTTCCTGTGGGCCACCAGAAAGATGCTCTTCTCCTTATACGAGGTATAAATGGTCAGGATCCCCATCATCACAAAATAGGTTCAAACAGAGTTAAGGGAAACACACAGAAATGCACACACAAAAGAAATACCACAAACTGCCAAACAAGGGTTATGAAAACTTTCATAATGTCCTCAAGAACAGCCAGCTTTGTCATGTTAATGAGAACACTGTCAATGTAGTTATTTCCTTGTCACACTTCCATGTCCCAAGAGAAGCCAGTCTGTATCTGGTTACTTCTCCAAAGGGGAGGGAGATGATGATAAGTCAAGCGCATGGTTAGCTCTCATCTTTGAGGCTCAAGAGCAACATGTCCGAGACCCTACTACTTAATTTACCAAGACATCAATATAATTGTTTCACTTCTCTATAAAAAACAAACTAATCATCACAGTGAACTTAATTATGGTTAAAAAAATTTCAAGAATCATTAAATGTGACTTCAATTTGTTTTGCTTAACTACTTCCTATACATGTAAGTATAGGCTCATTATCATTTTCAGGAAAGCAACAGTAGCTACTGTATCTAATAAGGAGCCCAGGTGGTTACAAGTTGGGCTCCTCACAGAGAGGTCAGCAGAAGCTCCACAAGAGGCAGTTTTCTGCTCCTGGCAGGGCTGTTCTACTGCGTCCGACACGGCCACTATGAATTGGAATCATCTGGAAGGTAGTGGGCTTGGGTTTTACCATACGAGTAAGGAAGCCTGTGGCATGGTGGGTTAACTATTGGGTTGCTAACCCAAAGGCCAGCAGCTTGAACCCACCAGCTGCTTCATGACAAAAAGATGAGTCTGCCCGGGTAAGATCTAGATCCTCGGAAACCCTAAGGAGCAGTTTTACTGTCCTGTAGGACCGCTGTGAGTCAGAATCAGCTGGATAGCAGGGGGTTTTGTTTTGTCATACCTGAGCACTTTGTATGTGCCAGCTTTGTGTACTCAGTACTATTTAAATTTTATAGAAGGGAGAGGTAAGAAAGTAAAGGGCACAGGGCAAAGCTTTGGAGTGAAGCAGTCCTAGATTTTAATCTTGGCTTTTAACCAGTGCCACCTTGCTACATTACTTTCCTTCCTGTGTCCCAGCACCCTTATCTCTAAATGCGGACAATATTGACATTTGAGTTAGTTAATTGTGCCAGCCTGGCCGATAATCACATGTGGTGCTGGTTGAAAGGCGGAGGGATAAATGGGTGGTGAAGCCTCGCCTTTCGAGTTCTCGGGTCTCTTGCTTTGTGATGGTCGCACCAGGATGCAGCAGCCTTAGCAGCTTCCTGCTTCAGCTTGCAAGACTGACTTCCTACAAGATATCCCCGAGGAGAAGCTACATGGACCTATCCCGATGCATCCCTGGGTGCTGGAGCAGCCTTATGGAGACCCCTGCTAGTGCTGAGATGCTTATTCGTTTACTGACTCAGCTTTCCTCCTGCAGTCGGCATCATTGCCTCTGTTTTGTGAGGTGAAGGACTTTGTGGACTGGTGTTGGGTATGGGTTAATGTTGGACTTGCGGGCTTGGGCAGCATTGGGTTGGGATGTTTTCGTGATGCACATTTTCTTTGCATAAAACTCTCTCTTATATGTGAGTTGCTGTGGATTTGTTTCTCCAAAGTACCTAGACTAATACAACGTTTTAGGATTGTCACAAGGGCTAGAGATGGTACACATACTGAGTGTGCACAGTACACAGAAGCCATTCATAATGGTAGTCAACATGACATATAAAGCTGATTTAATTATAAAAAGTACATCTTTTCTAGTGTTATTCTAACCAAGTATAACTGAACAAATGAAGTGCCATCAAGTCAGTTCTCTTGGGAAGCCACTGAAACGCCTGTGAAAAGTGCCCCGGCTGTAAAACCAAAGTCTTCACTGGGACGACTTAGCTGATCACAGAGAGGAGGCTTGGGTCACTGGTGCCAATTCTGGAGAATACGACTTGGGATCGCTTCGGGTAATAACAGTTTTGATCAGGACCCACTTTCTGAGATGGTTTGCTAACTGCTTCTGAAAGTAAATCCTCAGAGTGATTATTTTAGAAATATTTTAAATAGTTTGGGTTTTTTGCAGGGTGGATTGTTGATATAGGAAACCGAAAACAACCTAACCATTAAAAAAGGATATGATATGACACACAAAGCCAAGACAGGCTTTGACTCTGGAAAGGGGTGCATATAATCCCAAATCAAAGCCACTATGGCAAAAAGGCAGGAGATGGTGCAAATAGTGAGGCGACCATCAATAAGACCAAAATTCTCCACATACTTGTACTTTTCCAGAAGTACCTAGTGAGAAGAAAAAGGAACCAATTAGCAAGAATGCTCCCTTCCTGGGGTCTGCTTTATTCTCAATTTCCATGATAAAATGGACATTAAGACTTATTACCATTCCAAGCAAACAAGATTCAAGCCATTTATAAAGGATCCCAGAAAAATATTAATATAATTTTTAAAAATCCTAAACTTCATCCCACCCCCAAGTATGCAGCTAAAATTTTCTTTTCCTTTCTAAAGTAGAAACGTGACAAAACATGGATCAATGTTTCTCCCAAGCTTCTCAGCGCTAGATGAATTAACTTGAAGAACAAATTACCAGATTTCCAGAATTCACTAATGAAAGAATTTGAGGAGGTTGCGATGGTTAATTTTTATACTTGCATGCACATTCTCCTACTTAGAACTATACTATCAGAATTTTTTTTATAAATACACTTATCGGGGGCTCTTACATTTCTTATCACAATCCATACATTTGCACATATGCCAACATCATTTTCAAAGCATCCTCTTCCCACTTGAGCACCTGATATCCGCTTCCCATTTCTTCCCCCTCCCTGCCCCCTAGCCCCCCTCACAAACCCTTCATAAGTTAATAGATTATTTTTTCCATATCTTACATCATCACCTGTCACCCCTCACCCACTTGTCTGTTATTCGTCCCTCTGGAAGGGGGGGGTTCTAGATTGATCCTTGTGATTAGTTCCCCCTTTCTGCCCCTCCCCTCCCCTAATCCTCCTGGTATCTCTACTCTCCTTGTTGGCCCTGA